GAGGGTTATTTGGTCTTTTTGATTGATATGGTAAGCAGGTTATTTTGGTGGGCTTAAATCACCAAACTCATTAATTAGAGAAAGGATTGGACTTCAATCGAAAAACTGACATTGTTTTTTAGTTGCTATGTTATCCTATATTTATATATTAATATTATTAGCGGTTGTTATTTTATTGCATTGTTTGTGAAACTGTATCATATCGATGGTTCAACATAAATTACACTATTGTTGGCTCTTTTGGTACAACCTTCAGTACAGTTTCGTAATCCTTGCTTTATTGTATCCATCTAGGTAATTCATATCAGGTGTACAATTCGAAAAGCTCACATAACCATTCGTTATTAGTTTTTAATGAATCATATATCATTCAATTTAATTTTAATAATCAATTTTTGACATAAAAATTAAATTAATTATGCTCTATAAAATTATATTCACTGGAATATTTTGAAATAAAAAATATATATGTCAATCGAGAGTCCTATAACATCATACATAATAACATTCTTGAATTATCAATTTTCCTATTATAGTGTCCGATCTATATTTCATATTTCAATCTATAGGGTAATTCATTAAGATTTCAATCTATAGGTTATCAAAATTTGTTAGCACTAGGTAGCTTACAGTGTTAGAGAGAAAATATAAATCTAATAAAATGATAATGATTAACAACGTAAATTCTGCTTTGTGAAAATGATGTTCATATTTCAAAAAATTTATCATGAAAGATTGACTTCCAATGAAATGTTTAAAAAGAAGGAAGAGTTGTTGTGAAGATAAATATTTCATTAACGAAGACAAAAACATTAATACTGGTGGAGATGATGATTTTTTTAATGGCAAAGCGATCACCAAGAAATCAAAAATGAAATTTGCACTTTTTCTTGACAATGAGGTGTAAATAGTGTGGTTTGATTAAGTTTTCTAAAGCCGATTCCATTGCACGACTTTTGTTGTTTAGTTTGGGTAAGGACTTTTGTCAGTGTATCTATTGGCATACCGAAAACTTTAACAAGTATGGTACTTTTTTATATTTTTAATAATTAAATAATTTGAATTTTTATGGTATCAAATAAAATATGTCTTATTTGGGATAATTATTGATGTTGTTTACTTAGGGTAAGGAAATTTATTAATAAATATGTTAGCACGTTGGAAATTTTACGTGTATGATACTTTTTCATATTTCCTTTAACTAAATAATTTTAAATTTTTTAGGTAAGAAATAAAAAATATCTTACTTCAGACAATTGCTATTGTTATGCGTATCATTGATGAAATTCATCAGCTCAACAGGCGGGCTCTGATCTAGTACTTAAAAGAGGATTTTCCTACTCGAGCCACCATAAACATAATAATGTTGATGACCGCTCACAATCTCTAAAATAAGCACTTCAAAATTGAACACGTCAATTTTTGTCAAAAATTTACCTTGCCTAAAATTTAACTTAAGAACCACCATAAACATAACAATGTTGATGACCGCTCACAATCTCTAAAATAAGCACTTCAAAATTAAACACGTCAATTTTTGTCAAAAATTTACCTTGCCAAAAATTTAACTTAAGAGGATTTCCCTACTCTAGCCACCATGAACATAACAATGTTGATGACCGCTCACAATCTCTAAAACGAGCACTTCAAAATTTTGAACACGTAAGTTTTTGCAAAAAATTTACCTGCATTACATGTTTTGAAACCATATATCAGCTGCAAATAAAAGCCCACATCTGAATTTTTATTACTCGCGTTGAACAAGGACATATAAATAATTTTTTGAATTCATTCGTACTTTGCACTCACTAAGTTCTAATGATTCTGCTCATATTTTTTTATGAATAAGAGTTTTTTTTCCCAATGATATTTGGTTTTTATATCTGAACTTTATCTAGTGTGCTAATCCTGTTTAACTGAACAAGCCAAGTTAAGAAGGATTTCTTAGTGATAGAATGATGCACCCATATCAGATCAAACCAAACATCTTTTCCTTTTTTTTAATCTAAATGACTATGTACCTGCTGGATTTTATACTTAGGCATAGGTTTATTCTGCTCATATGCATTGATCGATTTTTCTAAAACACATGTGTAATACACCCACTTAACTAGCAAAACCTCGTAAATCGATCATCTGTCTAACTTTATAAACTATTTGTGTACTATACTCAACTGACTAGTAATTTTCACAATCGGACTGACTGATGCAATATAGTAAAATTATCAGCAGGGATGGCAACCTTGACCGACCCGCATAATACCCACCCGAAATCCGCCCAGATGGTGAGCGTTTTACCCGTCCGTCGTGGGTAAAAAGCAAATTCGGGCATGCCCAAAATTCATGAGTATCGGGCAACGAGTGACGATGGATCTCGTGATCATCATTTCCTCTTGTGGCGGCTGATGGCTCCATTTTCATCTCCATTCTTCCTCTTCTTCCCCTCCTTCCTCCCTATTCTGATCCCCATTCTCCAGTCACCCTTCTCTCTCCATTCTCCCTCTTATTCCCCTCCTCCCTCTTCTGATCTCCATTCTCCAATCTTCCCCTCTTCTCTTCTTCTTATTCCCCTCCTCCCTCCGCTCCTGCAACCCCAAATCGAGCATGCTCCAATCACTCCCACCCCCGGCCCCACCCCTCTTCTCTCTTCCACCCCAAAATCGCGTCACATCTCCAATCGCGCCCGCGTCTCCAACCCTTGGTTCATAATTCGTGGGTTACCCGGATTCGTTTGCAGACGGGGCAGTAATCTAACCTGCCGCGGATGGGAACGGGAAAATCCTTCAGCCTTGACGGACGGGGATCGGGAGGTAAGTACCCATTCTCGATCTGCCCCGATGCCATCTCTAATTATCAGAAAAATTATGAGTTTCGCATCTAGGAAAATTGTAAATTATAGATGAATAGACACCCACAACATAAGCCTTTATTTTTTTTGTGGGGTGGGTGGGGGTGGGGGTTTGTAAGTTGAATCCGCCTTTCCATAGGTACGTGCGATCATGAGTGCACCAAAGATTACATTTGACCCACCACATATATGTTTATCCATCTTTTGATTATGCGTTTTTGTTATTATAATTCCTAAAGGCACTACATATCTTCCCCTAACGAAGTAAATGTCTCACATACGTACTTTGAGCTCGTGACCATTCATTTCAGAGCATGCAACATATGGGGTAGTTTTGCCCTTTTGTCCTCTCTTTTCCCTTGGCTAATAAGGCCTCGCCCTTTTATCTTCTCGTTATGGTCCACATTCTGCTTTGTGGGAAATTAAAGGCCAAAATGTTAGGAAGCTTTCTTTTAAAATGGCCTCCAATGCTCTGTGGTGAGCTTGTAGGAAAGGATGATGCTAATTATGATTCCACATGGAGATTTGAAGACGTGTAACTCGAATCTTTCAGAAGTTAGCTGTTGTCTTTAGAGATATATATGGGACCAAACCCCACGTATTGCCAACCACTAATTCTCAAGGATTATACAATCGTACCAGAAGTTGTACAGGAAAAGTTAATGATATAGAATACTTTGTACTGAAATAGTGACTTGTCCGTTTCATATCGCTAAACAGTGTCTACCAACTTGACCTCCAATAGATGCTTTTTCAATCAGACCGTCGTTACTGTTTGACAAACATTTCTAATTACACAAACAACTGTTGTATATGTTATTGAGATCAACTGGTTCTTGACATGGTATTAGAGCCTTAAGTGACCGAAAGATCTTGTGTTCGAATCCCGGTGACCCCGTTTGCGAAGCACATGTGCAAACGAAAACCTTATGAGGTGACTGGCTTTTGTTAGAGGGGTGTGTGTTAGTGAATGGTATATGATCCAAAATTGAACCTCTTCTAACAACTCGAGTTAAGGGATCAACTTGTTCTTGACAGTATATTGAAACCCTAATCTGTCTCTTAACCCCAATATTCTGACATAAAAATCAGCTATAGCTAGATTGTCGTCACTAATAAGAGAAAAGATTAGGGCACATAAGCAAATGTGCATATATAACTTTCAAGTGCAGTGGAGCAGAGAAATCAATAGTACTACTACTACTAACTGACCATATCCATAGTGAGCATGGATGGATATGTACCTTGGAAAAACCAAATCGATCGACGATACAAGAACAGTGAGGGGGGAAAAGGAGAGAAAATATGAGTGGGTGGTGGTGGTCATGATGGATCATGGTATTCAACACTAGCAGTACAGTAAATTACCAAGTGAAAAAACAGAAACTCAGAATTTGCAGACCATTATAGGGGAGAGAGAGAGAGAGAGAGAGAGAGAGTTTGTGTGTATATAGGCTCAGTCAAAGGGAGTAGCTAGATTGATTGATAGGTCGTGTCAAGCTACAGTGGATCCATCACCCACCACCCTACAGAAATTTACAGAGAGACAGATAGACAGACTGCCCTCAATTCAATTTCCAGTGACCCAAATTCTGCAATAATAATATTATGAAGAAGAAGAAAGAGATAAACCAGAAGAACTGCACTGCTACTACTTCTCCTCTCTGCACTGCTGCCTGCCTGCCCTGGCCCTGTAGTTGCTGTCCTAGCTATTACCATTTGTGAATGTATCTATGTATCCACTGTAGGCGCCACTTTTCTGTCGCTGTTACCAATTAGCTTATTTATAACCAAAGATTATAAAACCGTATCGTTGTAAAATATTTATACCGATAATAAAATTTTAAACGAAATTGAATTCTGTTACGCGATTGATACAACACGGCTTCTAACAGCAAAAAATAAAATAAGAGGTCGTTTGAAAGTTGCGATAGTTCTGTTGATATTGTCATTATGCATATATTGTTTACAGTGCATCGTTTTTTTGTTTTGTTTTTTTAGCAGAAACAATACATGGATTGTTTCCGTGATGTGACAGAAACTATCACTCATTTTAAGTGATTGTTATATCTCAACTTTTAGTTGTGATTGTTGAGATAGTTGAGTTGAGATTGTTTGTCTCAGCTTTTAGCTGATGCGACATACACAATCACACATACCAAACGTTGTATTCTACAATGCATCAAATTCGACAATACATGTATAATATTATACATGCATTCTCAACAATACATTTATTTAACAATCGCAACCAAACCACCTACAATTCCTGAACTAAGAAAATCCCTGAGGCTTTTTTCTTAGATCTCCCACCAGAGCATAGCTTTATACCAATTGGTGCTCTATCTTATATGTTCAGTCTTTACTTATAACTAGTTAGGGCTCCACAAGAATCCTGGTCATGATCATGTGCTAAACTCGATGTTGGTTGGCCTTTGGCCTTCCGCTTTGGTTTCTTTATCCCACTTTTCTGTACTACTGTCTGCCTCCAATCCAATATATCTCGATTGATTGCCCATTTCCTTTTGTCTCTCTGCCATTTATTAGCTCTCACTCATCAATCATCATCACAGCCCTAGCTAGGTGGCTAGCTCCTCTTCACAAGATCATATACCTTTTCTTATTACATGCCTTCGTCGATATGTGCCCTTTTCTTCTGTATATGTAGGAGGACTCTGATCAGTTGTTGCGGGAAGGAAAATGCTGGGCAGCCTATTCATAAATATTGTTAATTACTAGGCCCTAGTTAGTGATTGTCAAAGAGTAGAACATATTGTGAAATTGCATCCAAGGTTATAGTGAAAATTTTAGTGGTATGCATGGTATTGTTTGTACTAAACTTGTGCTATGATACTTTCATTATTAACACGTCCCCCCTCAAACGAAAAGCTACTCTGTATGGGCTTGAAATTTGTAAATTTCGGAATATCATATGGTTAACAAATGGTGTCGTCGGAATTCAAACCACAATACCTCTCGGTCTTTAAAGACTCTGATACCATGTCACGAACCAGTTGATCCCAATATATAACTCGAGTTGTTAAGAGAGGTTTAATTAGGGATCTTAAAATAAATAATTGCAAGCGTTTCATACCACTGAAGTTCCTACCGGTTTGGTATACGTCACCCGATATTCATGGTCTGTCGGTGTAGGTCCATAATTGAACCTCTCCTACCAACCCGATAGTATCTCTAAGATATTGCTCCAATCCATATCTGAAGTGCTTATTTACAAATAGAAACAAAGCAATCAAAATTGCGATTCTACGTACGTATAGAAGCGTTGTGACGACCTAGAAGTATAAAAATGTAATCTCTTAAGTTTTTAAAACTTAGATTTTGAGTACACTTGTAAGTGAAAAGTGCGGTTTTACGTAGAAGCGTTTTGGTAATCTCAAAGTGTAAAAGTTTTAACATTTTAAGTCTTAAAATGCGATTTTCACTTCTTAAAATAAAAACAACGATAAAGTTTTCAACATAAAAGCTTATTATAAAATGTTACTGTGGATATCAGTTAGCATGAATCTCAAGAAGTTGACATATTAGTAATGTATAGACGAGAACATCTACCACACCCTCGGTTTGAATCTAGTGGTCAACAAAAAACAAAAATCTAGTTACCATGCTCATCAAAATAAATGAAAATATCCCCATATTTACTTCCACCAGCTTATAACCTTTAACATTAAAACTGTCAAAATAATGAAATATATACAAGTCACCCCAATTACACAGGACCAAAACATTCCGAAACTTAATTAGCACACATGCATGGTAATTATAAGTTATATAAGAGTCCAGTCGCAAGAAAAAGGAATCAGCAATTAATCGTTCCAACAAAATAAAAAGTTATAATTAACCAAAATGCATGGAATAATACCAACATATATATACTAATCTCGTAGCTCATCTCCTCCATGCATGTTTCTTCCTTGTAAAATGGCTTTGTGTACGTGGCATCCTGCTATTGCCTGAACTACTTAATTAATTAATTAATTAAGCATCATTTACTTCTACTAGGCAGGAGAAAGAAGGAAAAAAAATGTACCATTGCATTTGCACGTACGTGACCACTCCAGCAGAAGAGAAAAAAAAGAGCATGCATCATCATCGTCGATCATCAAAACGGCGGCGCATCGATACGATCCACCGGACCAACGGCGGCGTGGCCGTCACCAAATGCCCTGATGTGGTCTTTCAACGACCGCTTGTGCTTGAAGTCGGAGCCGCAGAGGCAGTACCAGAGGCTGCCGCAGTTCTTCTCGTGGGTCCGCCAGTCGCCTCGCACGGCGAACGTCTTGCCGCAGCACTTCCTGCAGACGAAGGGCTTGACGCCGTGCTTCCGCTTGTAGTGCGTCTGTAGCGTCCGGAAGTCCTTCAAGGGTTTGGCCCTTGGGTGGTCGATGTTGTTCTTGCAACCCGGAGAGCAGCAGTAGCAGGGAAGTCTGAGCATCCCTGTGGGTTGTGTTCCTCGAAGTGATTCGGGTCCCTTTCTGTACTCGGATCCATGGCCCCACATGTGCATCTGCAATATCATTGTATCGATCGGTTTGATCATTGATCTTACAATTAGTTATCGTTTTCGAGATGAGAAGTATATATATGTATATAGCATGCTCAAACTAAGTACGAGTTGTTGAGACCGACTGATACTGAGAAATCGTTTTGGGGTGAGAAATATTTATTCGCGTGAATCGTGACGTACATCATGTTTTGAAATACATGCAACAAACTACGCGTACATGCACCATCTTAGGGATTAAAGGGTTTATGATTTGGATGATAAGGTCCCGGCCTCGGGTTTTTCGCTCATTAAGGACCAGAGAGTATAGTATATCGTGTCTCAGTTAATTTGATATATGAATAGTGTTTTCTTACTAAAGGTATATGTGGTATACTAGATTTACTCTAGGTAAAATGGAGGCGCCGCGGTATATTATATATAGGTCTGACTGCTGTACTACGGAAATGACACTATTTAGATCACGAGTTAATAAGAGTTTGGAGAATGATACTAATATATCTCTTATAGCCTCTAATAGGAGACCTCATATACTCTGATTTTCTTAACCCCTAACCCTAATATCACTTTATTCAAATACAATAGTACACCGTTCTGACTAGTTGAAGTTATCAAAGTATATCCAACGTTGAGATTATAAAATATACAACCGTTTTTACCATATATATCAAATAATTATGCCAAGACTTATTCATGAATCATCTGATATTATATCAATTCAAATGCTCACAATAAAGTAGTTCTTGACAAAATGTATCAAAGTCTTATGGATTCGGTGATTTCTCTGGTATAAATCCTTATAGCTACGGTCCGAAAATTAATATGGTTAACTTAAAAGTAGTGAATTGGATGGTACACCTACAAATTTTATTTTGATTTTCATTTGAAGAGTAAGAACTAAGAAGTATGATGAACATTTAATATCGAGATTATCCCAACAACTTGAATTGTAATGTAAAATTGTTTCTATATCTATGCACAAAGTCCAAGACAGTAGTGAGGAATGAATTAAGGAAGTGGACAACTTGGCAGAAAAGGAACATATAACCCGCGACTTGTTCAATCAAAAGCAAAACACCATTCTAATTTATGGTCTATCTCTCCCCTATTTGCTCGGACCCCTCCTATACAAAGATTATGGCTTGGCCTATACCACATTTCAAATATTTTTAGTGAGATATTTATATTTTAGATTAAAAAAAAACTATATTTCAGGTCTAATTTGAGTATACGATATTTATATTTTTACTAAGGTATTTATAAACTGAGAGATATGAAGAAAAAAAAATATTATAACTTCTAATGGATAAATCTCATGTATAATTTTCTAAATCCAAATCAGGAAATAAATGAATAAAAAAGTTACAAAATCAACCACTCTGATCATTCACCGAAGCACAACAACCAAATCGGTTGGAGTATGTATATCAGTTATTACGATAATTAAGTTTATATATATATGAATATAACTAATTGACCTAGAAATTCCTTTTGAGTGAAATTTCAGGATTAGATCTAGGCTAAGAGAAATAATTAATTGGTGCATATATATATATGATGATCACCATTAGCCTGGATGAATCGTTTATTGATACGACATACATAGATCTGAGATGAGCTTAATTAATCAGCTAGCAAAAGAGAAGTGAGTAAAGCTAGTAATTAATTAATTACCTGCATGTTGTTGTAACGGTTGAAGGATTTGAAGCAAAGAGGGCAAGTGAACTGAGTCGGGCCTAACAGGATCTGGGTCGGTGTCGGGATCCAGTAATCGCTCCCCTTCATCATCATCATCATCTTCTTATCATCATTGCTGCCGTCGGAGGTGGAAGATGATGTAGAAGAAGAAAACGAACAAGAGTGAAGAAGGACAGATTTATCGGCCGCGTCTGCGGAACTATGGCTGGTGGCGGGTAGACCTATCCGCAGCGCCACGCTCACTTCACCACTTTCTTCTTCTTCATCATCGTATTCATGATCTCCATCATCAACATCATCTTGTTGGTGGTGATGTGGAGAAGGGGAGATGCTGAGAAAGGGAAACGCTTGCTTCGATGGAGGCGATGATGGTGAAGAAGAAGGGTCGTTGTTAAGATCTAGAGCAAGAAGAGGAGGAGGAGGAGGAGGAGGTTGCAAATAGTAGTAATAGTTATGCTGCTGGTAAGATTGCTGCAGATGATGATGAAATTGGTTGTCCAGCTGCTGCTGGCAGTAGTTGCTTGGGTAGAATTGTGAAGGGTGGGAGGAGGATGAGGAGAAAGAGGAGTAATTAGGGTCTGCCATATGATGAGTGTGGGGAAAAGGTTGGGGTGGGAAGGTAAAATGGGAGCTGGCTGGGTGAAGAGAACAGTGGTTTCTTTGTTTCTTTGCTAAGCTTGCTTGCTTTTTTTCTTCTTCTTCTCTCTCTCTCTGTCTCTTTGCTAGCTTTTCTTTTATATATGCCCTAGCTAGTTATTGTTATGAACAAAAACACAAAAACAATATCTGGATAGAGAGAGAGAGAGAAGAGAAGGGTGTGCAGAATGAATGGTGGACATCAATGACCCTGGATGTCCCTACTTTATGGGTCGGTCCAATACCTAACTCGCTCTCTAGCTAGCTCTCTCTACTTCACTTGTTGGTTGTTCAGGAGGAAGAAATAATTCTATGCAGGAAGAAAAAAAAAAGGTGGATTCATCAAGTGGTTTAGCTAGCTAGGCGTTAACTTTACTATAGTTGAGAGATAATTAAGTGGTCAAACATGCAACCGATATAGAACATTTAGGTGACATCGTGTGGTATTTATGTAGGATGAACGGTTGATAGTGGACGGATGGATGCCCAGATCTATGAGGTTGCTGATTTCGTGAGAATTCAGAGGGTTTTTTTTTGTGTCAAAGCACAATATGTCCTTTTGGAGCCGACGTAACAAATTACGCGAGCCTCCTAATGAAACCATCATAGAGTTCTTGAGGAGGTCAATGATAACATTCAAAGTGATCGAGAAAGAACCATCATCACGAAAGGAGATCCAACACATGAATAGAGAATTGCAGGCTATAAGAAACGAAGCGGAGATCGATAAATTAAGCAAAAGGATGATTGGAGGGCTAATCAAATTGCCCATTTCCACCAAGTTTTGGAAAACCCTATTTTTGCCCAGGAGCTCATAGAGCCGCGGACCTCATTTGCTTCGTTCCTCTCTGCTCATTCTTTTAGTCGAGCTACTTCGTTCCTTTCATTTTACGTAAGTATTTGGTACAAAGGTGCAGTCTGTTGGTCAATTTATATCCGACGATAAATGTCAGAACACACCGTAACACCGTAATGAAGTTGAGTGATTCTAGTTGTCACGGCAGCCGCGGCATCCAAAAATAAGACTTGGATTATGTCTTGTGCTATTTAATCTTGATTAATGCTAAGTACACAAGGACAAGTGGTTGATCGAGTACTAGTTTGGCTAATTATTGGCTACACGGTTGATGATGATGGGGACTCGAATTAATGCTATGAATTATGATACACGTACGTAGGGTTTATGGCGACTACTAATTAATTGCATGTTTCAGCGGCTTATTATTACGGCTGCCAGTTGCCAGATTACGACTCCATCATAAATATTCATAAGGTGGCTTGCAAGGTTGTCAACCCGCGGGTCGACCCGCGGGTTGACTCACTTTAACCCTGACTCGGTGAGAAAAACGGGCCGCACGCACGCGTCGGGTCGACTGCTACAAGGTATTGGGTTGGAGGTCAAATTGTGTCATTTTTTCTTTGATTTGCGAAATGCGCCTATTTTTCGATTTTTCTTTTCGCCTAACTCTATCCTTGGAATTCTAAGTTAAACATTTGAATATATATGTTATATAAGTGTGTGTAAATTTTCAATATATGTTGGATCTAAGTACGACATGTTATTTTGGTGGAATATTATATGTTATAACTCATATGTTAGATGAGATTTGATATAATTTATCAGGATATGTACAATATAATGACTATTTCCATATTTTTCGGGCTAAACCGGGCTAAATCGGGTGACCCATTAACCCTTGACCCACTAGCTCCACCAGGTCTGAGTCAACCCGCAGGTTGACAACCTTAGTGGCTTATAAACCCTTTTTCTCGTGCGTTCCTCCTTTTTCTTTCGATGAATTAATCATCTAAACATTTCTTCATTGATTACTCTCTGCTACCAAACTGCACTAATTTCTTATCCTTTTAATCTCCAATCCTAGACTTTACAATCCAATTATTGATAAGATAAAAAAACGCATGTAGTTTTGTTCATCGCGACGAAAACATCTTCTTTATAAGAGAAAATGACATTGTTTACATGAAACCTATCATAACGAGTAAAAGATACACAATGTATGCATGTCGCCGAAAGATTGATAAGGAGGTACAATAAGAAAAATAATAAAACAAAATCAAAGCATGGATTTGTTTTACTAGATATAATGAAAGAAAAACACATTGATCATATTTATACTAATAGCTTATGAGCCCTTACATGCACACCAACTAAATATCATATATGATAATCAAATTATGAAAAAGAACTTAAATCTAATATAGATTAATATTGATATTAATTACTTCGAGCATGATTGTTAATTCAGAGTGCCCTGCATGAAACTAAGTTTCAAGGAGTAACACAGGGAACTTTGATTCGACAAGACATTACGTGCAATTATAGCTTATCACAAAGTAAGATCTAACATTGGCTAGCTGATCATAAAAAGCAACATAGATAACTTAATTTGAAGAGACAGTGTATATATTAGCTTACCAGTTACCACACACGAAACCGATAGTCAATCTCAATATGTTTTACTCGGTTTCAAGAGAGTTTTTGGATAACCTAAAACCACGTACACCAAAGAATATGCATACTACCTAGATCCAGGGGCGGAGCTAGGATTTTGGGTTTGGGGGGGCCGGAAATGATTCGTATATTATCGTAATAAGAAAAAAATCAAAATAATTATATAACTATATAAATAAATTAATTGTGTAAATTATCAAAATGTACGAGATGTTTTGTCAAATAATTAGATTGACATTCTTGTTAAACTAACATAGGTGAGGATTGAACCCTTGACCTGTTTGATACAAAACCACTAAAAACTCCACTAGAGTAATCGGCTACTTTAGATACCTTTTAACCCGCGACCATTATTATAAACCTGTATTTACTTCGTAATTTTCAGAATACTCGTACATTCTTTCGTGATTTTCGAAATTGGCCCTGTGTAGCTCCGCCCCTGCCTAGATCATTCAACAATTGCACTTTCACTCCTCATCAATATTGCTGTCCATACACAGCAGCTAGCTAGTTGGGTTCCATTCCATGGATCCAATTTTTTGTCATCACCACCCCCATTAAAAGATTGGGTTGTTTAATTTCTTCATGGTTTGTGGCCACAAGAAAAGGGTGTGGTTTCACCTTGATTCAAGGCTTTATTATTAGTGTGTTTTCTTTCTTTGGCACTCTTTCATTTTCATTCACTTTGCTGGTCTACTGGTTGCTTGTATCGCAACAGCAGTATCACTGTAGACAGAAAGCTCCCCACCTATAATAAATGAGGCTCTCTCCACTTTTTGCTGCTAAAAAAAGCCAAAGCAAAAAGAGAGGGCCTATCTCTCTCTTCATGTCTGCATGTGCCATGTCCAATGATTTACTGGTCAATCAGTAATCTTGCAGAGTGAAAAGGAAGTGGCCAAAATATATATTATGCTCTCCCCCCACGTTGGTATATCAAGAGTCTTTCAATCTAAAGAACCAAATTCTATCCCTCTCTTTCAATCTAAGCACAATGTATGATGTACATGTGCAAACCTCAAAACCGTGAGTTTATCCAAGCACACGGGATTATGAACCTGCCCATAATTGAATTTTTCTAAACAATTGGAATTATTGAGACCGATACAACCTTTGTCTAATCACCATAAATAAATTATCTGCATAAATTAAACTTGAGATCACAACCAAATACATGTATGCCTTAGAAACGCAGAACCAAGCCTTGCTGGTTTCTCTCCTGTCGATTCTTATCACTATGTATGAAACTGCACATGCACTATAAACGTTTATCCAAAAACTGTCTCAAAAGCGCCATCCACTACCGATCATGTCAGAGACCAAATCTCAAAACATATTAGGTTTCTTTTTCCGTATTGAAGTACATCTGTTTTTTTGACAGACCATTTTGATATAAGGTTGTACATTCTCATTATGTCTTCTCTCTCTTGTATTGAACTTAGAACTGATCTATATACACTCTTAATAAATAAAGTATTCATCTTGTTAGCAACTGTTCACTTCAATAAGAAGTACTACAATAATCGTTATGTTACATCGATTTGAGTTTGACCGTGTACACGATTATATCACCCTTCCATTGGCCTTTGCCGCGAATTGGTTTCCCCAAGACAGCACGGGTACTTAACACAGAAAATCGATGGAAATGGGGAAAAGGAACACATCTATCTATATGAATATCAGGTTCCATGTTGATGCTAAGTCCTGTTCTCAGTTTCCCAAACATCGAATGTTATCATACGTTGCCTGCCATTGTTTCAAATCCCCGTATGAATGTTGGGTGTAATCCAGCCACAGGCTACTGGCGGAAGACAGTGATGCAGAGGTCGAGGGAGTGATGTACTGACAAGGGTTGGATAATACTATTTATATCCAAAATCAAATAACACTAATAAATTCGAATACAACAATCCGCCTTGTAAAAAGGGTTTCTGAAAGGTTACCTTAAATTTGTGTGTTTTATCTTGTCCCTACAGGGAGCTGCATGCACGTATGGTCTGATAGCTAGTAGGATGATCCATCCATCGGCGCGACATGAATTTGCAGAGTTTGCAGGGATTCAGGATGTTGGTCTCTGATCGAACGTAAGCTTACCAGACATATATATCAAACCAAGGTGCCTAGGAAATTGGGCTTTCTGTTGTGTTACGAGCAACCGCTGCTGCTGGAGATTCCAAATATTAGTTGTTTATGTCCTTTGGTATACAGATACTATAGTTTTCATTCTAACGGCTAAAAAATATATTTGGCCTTCTTCCAGAAATATAATTTTTCTGCAATTCATAGGTATAATGAATAATGATAAGTGACAACGAGGTTCAAAAAGATATATGCTAGACATAAAGTAGGCAGAGGGATTTATTTCTAGCGTCTAAATTTGTCTGAATTTTATTTAAATGTGTCTACATATGAATGAAATAACGATTTGCAACACCTATTGAAATTCAAATTATTAATAACTTGATTAACATTTACAATTACGAAAAATAGTTTACTAGCTTCATCTAATGATATCTAGAGAATATCAAAGTGTCACCTTACTTGATCGACTTGTTCTCAATATTTAACTTATTGTGTAATTCCTAGACGATGATTCAATATTTAACTTATTGTGTAATTCCTAGACGATGATTCGGCATCGACACGTAAGTTTAAGAGCACACATTTGAATCATAGTGATGAGCCAACCTAGAAAAAAAGACAATTGTATAAAAATAGCGATTAATGCCGTAGAGTATAGATCAAATTTGTAATTCCCTCTCCACCCGCAAGTCCATGCGCAATCCAAAACAAACTACAAGACTTTTTTTACAGCTTCCTCCCACCAAAGTAGGCAAAAATCATAAAACAGGGCAAAATTTTCCACGCATCCGAGACAGGCCTAAAAGGGCATCCTACTTCAACACCACCTGATGGCAAATGCAGAATCAAATTTCCAGCTTGTGCATCACATCGAACGACCCGGTACCCATCTTCACCGGCAGCCCAACGCAGAGCCTAGCAGACGGCGCTTCCAGATTATCGGTCTCCCCGTGCAATGCAGCCTGGACGATGAACTTCGACGCAGTCTCGAAGGACATCTTGGTAAACGGCGATATCGACTGGGCAATGCCACCGAGGCGGTTCATGGGGCGGTAGGTTCCGGAGTGGGTCATGTAGTCGGCAATGAGAGATAGGTGGCGGTTGCTGACAGAAATGCCGTAGGAGCCGAAGACGTGATTGATCTCCCTGATTATCGTCTCCCTCGCGGCTTCAACACCGTACGTTGTCAGCATGGCGTAGATGTTGTTGGTGTATATGTACCTTACGTCGAGATCCTTCTGCATCTTCCAGAATGAGTTGAGGTCCACTCCCATTGATTGAAGCGCAGGCAGTTTCTTCTTCTCCTCGGGCTTGATCTTGATTCTGTGCTTCGGATCTTCACCATAATAAATCACTTGACTGTCTTTGCAATCGGTCACACGGCACTGCTCGATCTTTCCTGGGTTCTGAATATAAACCTTCTTGGAAGCCTTTTGAGCAATCTAGACGACATTAAAGGCAAACGGGATGAGCATTATATATTCAATGTAGTTAACTTTAATACTGAAACAAACAACTGAGGAAAACAATTGACACTTATAGACCAACCTCAGCAAGAAGAACATGAGGTTCATTGGTGAACTTAAAGTGGACCTCAAAGTCGAATTCGTTGGCTGCCACGAATATAGCTCTATCAAAATCTTTTCTGGAGACCATTCTCCTGAGCTTCTTCAGTTTGCGTTCTTTCTTATCTCCTACTTTTGCTGGAGAGTCGCTTAAGACTCGTGATTTACTTTTGGCAGGACGCAGGGTACTTCCAGAATTAACAGTGTCAACCATGTCATCAGCAGTCCCGGTCTCAGCACCATCAGCATCGGTTTGAATTTCGCTTTCGGTTTCACTTTCGTTGTCTGATCCACCTTCGGTGACCACGGAGCCCTGGCCATGGCCATGGCCTTGATCTTCATCATCTTCATACT